GCAGTGCCTACAGGTGCCGCTTTTCTTACCAGTCTTGCTCCATCTCTCTTCTTGGTCCCAGGGGCATGGTGGTGGTGGCCGATAAGACCTCAGAACTCTACCAGAAGACCTACTGGGCCAGCTACAACCTACCGTATGTCTCCACCCCTGCCCCATACCTGCCTCACCCCTACTCAGTTCTCCATGCTGGTCAGGGGTTCTTCCCTGCGCGATCTTTTCAACCCACAGAGCGAAGAAACCACCTTGGCCTTTCTTTGGCAGAGAGTAGTGGGACTTCGGTCTGCGCCCACGGGGGGAGGGTCGGGGGTGGCCGGGCTCAGGTGCCGTCCCCACTGTGGCTCCCCCATCGGGTCTGCTGTAACCAGGCCACATGGCCATCACCTCTGGACACTCACTGTGCCCTACCAATGAGAGATTTGCTCCTTACAACCAGTGCACGGTCGCCATGACCCCCGTTCCCATTTCACAGACGAGGAAACTGAGGCCTCTAGCAAATGCCTAACTTTCCCAAGGCGCATTCCCCAGCTGTTCAGTGGTAAAGTCAGCATCTGAACCATGTCTCTTGGACCACAGAGCCTAAGCTTGGTCACCCCAGCAAGCCACCTCCCAGCACACACAGAAGACATGACTGTCACTGTCCCGTTGTGGTTGTTAGTGATCTTGTTCTGGTGTGACCACCCCTCCATCTTCCCGGGCACAGCCAGCATGGGCAGGGGCAGTGAGTGACCATCCTTTTCCCCCCATAGGTATTTTGAAAGTGTGTTCAACGCCAGCGGGATGCAGGCCCTGGTGGCCCAGTACGGGGACTGGTTCTCCTATGATGGGAGCCCCCGAGCCCGGATCTTCCGACGGAACCAGTCGCTGGTGCACGACCTGGACTCCATGCTCCGGCTCATGAGGTGCGTGGGGGAGTGTGTGCCGCGAGTCCCATAGAGCTTTACGCATGCTTCACTGGCCCCCGTGTGTAAGCCTCACTACGAGCCCGGGGGTCGCAGGGCGGCGGCCAGACGTAAGCACACATTACAGGTGCTGAGCGGCCCCCTGGTGCTGGGCACCGTGCTTGGAGCCAGAGGAACGGCCCAAAGCAGGGAGCCCCCACTGTGGGAGATGTGAAATCCGTCAAGCCCTCGCGGGGATGTGGGCACGGAGGGTGGAACGGGCTGAGCCCCCAGCACTGCTGTGAGGTAGGATGGGGTATCTAGCCCAGATCGGGGTTGGGGGCCCCGAGGGTCTCTGGAGGAAGGGCTGCCTCGGCGGATGTGAGGACAGGCGTGGAGTGATGAGGTGAAGAGTGAGGGAAGCTGGGCACGTGAACACAGAGGGCTTGTTTCCGGGGTTGCCACCAGTGGGAGCTTGGCCTCCCCTTCCCAGCACGCCTGATGCCCCCTCCCTTCCCACATCCAGGTACAATGACTTCCTGCACGACCCCCTGTCACTGTGCAAAGCCTGCAACCCTCAGGCCAACGCAGAGAATGCCATCTCGGCCCGCTCTGACCTGAACCCTGCCAACGGCTCCTACCCTTTCCAGGCCCTGCACCAGCGCTCCCATGGGGGCATAGACGTAAAGGTGCTGCCCCACCCCGGGCCTGGTGGCAGGGGGTGGGCTGGGATGGTGTCATCGCTGCAGGGCACGGGGTGGCGGGGGTCAGAGTAGATGGCGGACCAGGGGGCAGGGCTGGCATGGGGCTGCGGGTGGGGGCCAAGTTAGGGCTGGGGTCAGGGCCCTCTGGATTGGGGCAGCTCAGAGCCCAGCCCAGGCTGGTGCTCAGTGACCTCTGCCCTGGCCTCCAGATGACCAGCATGGCGCTGGCCAGGGCCTTTCACATCGTCGCAGTCAGTGGGCCTACGTGGGACCAGCTGCCGCCGTTCCAGTGGAGCTCCTCGCCCTTCAGCGGTCTGCTGCACATGGGCCAGCCTGACCTCTGGAAGTTCTCGCCCATCGAGGTCTGGTGGGACTGAGTCTCCTTCTCTGCCCTGCTGACAGCTACTGGGGCCACCCACCGGCCGCCACCCTGACCTCCTGCCCGCCCCCTCCGTGGCCATCATCCCCTGCTGTGCCCAGATTGGGCGGCCTGGGTCTATCAGGTTCACTGGTCTCCGGATCATCTCCTGGTTAGGATGCGGGGCCTGATGAGGTCCAGCACTGACTCGTTCGCTCCCCTTCAGTGAGGGAGTGCCTCCCCTGTCCCCCACCTCTCTGCATCTCTCTCTCTCTCCTGTCTCCTTCTCTCTTTCTCCTATGCTGGAGCCCTGTCCTCATGCTGCCTCCTCTTGAGAGCTTGGGAGGGGTCCTCAGATGGGGTTTGGGGCCTCTGGTGGAGCAGGAGGGGACCTTTCCAGTTCCCGCCTCCCAATGTCATTCCTGCCAGTAGCTCTGGGATTTGTGGGGTTTTGGCCCAAGACCTGGGCATTGCCTCTGGTTGGCATCGGTCCTTCCGTCTCCCAGCCCCAGCTGCTCTGCTCGCTCGGGAAGCAGCCCCTTTGTTTCCCCTTCTGGACAGCTTCCCTGAGGACAGAAACTTGAAAACAAACAAAACCAAAGTTTCTGGTGACTTGAGGCTGGAGGGGCCTTTGGGGCAGAGAAGAGTGTCAGCCTCTCTCCCGCAGCCTCGTGCCCTCTGCCCCCAGCTTGGGCCTGCCCCTGGCCTCAGGGCAGTGCCCACAGCTCCCCTGCTGTAGGAACCGAATTGCAGACTGTGCTGCCATTAAATGAGAGGCCGTGGCCCGTGTGCTGTGCTTTTTTAGATAGTGGGGGAGGCTGGGCTAGTGCCCTTTGTCCTCCCTGGTTTGGGTTCTACACCGTCCACCCATGCATCCTCCTGTCCATTTTTCTGTCTGTTCATCTGTCCGTTTATTCGTCTGCTGACCTGCCTACCCGTCGTGCACCTGCGGTCTTCCATTCGTTCATCCATCTACTCATCTGTCCATCCATCCACACAGCCACCCAGCCACCCGTCCATTCACCTACCTGTCCATCCATCCGTCCCTCCATCAGTCCATCTACCTAGCCATCCGTCCATCTGTCTGTCCATCCTTCTGTCCATCCATCCCTTCATCCCTCCATCAGTCCATCTACCTATCCATCCGTCCATCTGTCTGTCCATCCTTCTGTCCATCCATCCCTTCATCCCTCCATCAGTCCATCTACCTAGCCATCCATCCATCCACTTATCCATCCGTCTACGCATCTGTTATCCATCCATCCGTCCGTCCATCCATCCATCCATCCTCATCCATAGATCCATCCATTTTCCGTCTACTCACCTATTCATCTGTCATCCGTCTACCCATCTACTTATTCATTTATCTATATCTATCCGTCCATCCATCCATCCGTCCATCCATTCAGGTGTTCTTGAGCACCTACTTTGTTCTGGGTACTATCCCAGGGCCTTGGTAACCAACAAGACTTTCCCAAGTTCCACTGTGGGATACAGGCCGACACGAAACAGAGTCTCTCCGCATCTGATCTTAGCCAGCTGGTTGACCCCAGCCCTCTATGCCTCAGCTCTTCTAGTGGACAGAGGTGTAGGCCTTGCCTCTTTGGGGGTTTTGTGCTGACTCAAGTGGGACAGCCGAGGCTGGAAGCAACCCTGTTCTGCGCAGGCTTTCTTGAACTGAGCACCACTCTGTCCCCCAGGAAGAAATCTGGGGCCAAGGGACCGATGGTTTGCTGTCTCTGCCTGCCCACCCTCGATGTCCCATCACCTATAACATATGTTTCTGTCCCTCCTGGCTGGAAGTCAGTGGATGAGCCTGTGTCCGGGGTGGGTTTGGGGTGGGTTTTACACTCTCCCCCGAATCTCCCAGTCCCTGCTGGTAGTAGGAGCTCTGCAGACCCGTGTGGATCTGCATCGTGTCCTGAGGGACTGGAGGGGGTCTCAAGCTGCACTCTGAACTTGGGGAATTCACTCAGTGAATTGCCTGGGGCTGCTGGGGGTGGTGTGGTGGCGCCCCTTTCCAGACCTCGAGGAGCCCCCGGCAGGCCCTCTTCCCTGTTTCCCTGTGCCGGCGTCAGCAGTGCTCTCCTGGGAAGAGGGTTTCACGTCTGAGAGGCTTTGCAAGGCATTCATCTCAAGTCCGCTCCTTCTGAATCCCTGAGATGGGTGTCCGCTGTCAGTTTACACACCCCCGGAGACGGGGGGCTCACTGCTCTGCTCCCGTTGGTTCTGTGATCAAGTCATTCTGATAGCAGGAAGGACTTCTTGTCAGAAGGAGGCCAGCCTCACCTGCCTCTTGGTTTGGAGGTGGGTTCTGGCTCCAACGGAGGCTGCCCTTGTGCCAGCTCTTGCTCACCTCCCTCCCTTCCTGCTTCCTGCTTCCCAGCATGCAGGCCCAGTTGGGAGCAGGGTCCTGGCCCCCACAGCCATGGGGCGCCAAGGTTCCAGGGGGCAGGGGTTAGGGGGCAGGGCTACAGGCAGGCAGGTGGGGGGAGAGGAGGGAGGGAGGCAGACGGTGATGAAGGAGAAACTTAAAGGATCTTCATTTCATAAATACATTTTTTTCTTTTTCAATGAAAAAGCTGCAATTAGAAAAATGCCTGGGGGGTGGGGCCAGGCTGGGCTTCCTGGGGGAGAGGACAGACGGTTCTCAGTCCTGGATTACAGCCCTCTGTGCCTTCCAGGGAGGAGGCTCATCCTGCTACGATCTCTCCCCTCATGCCCCACCCCCGCACTGGGGACCTGGTATAGGATACATGGGCGGCCGTCACCAAGCCACGGTGGCTAGGGACAGTCACAGAACCACTGCGCTGTGACCAGAGAGGTTCGGTTCATGGCCTCGCTGGCTGCCGGCCTGGCTCCACCTCGGAGCTGCGGCCCCTCGGCACAGCGGGCTCGTGGGACTGAGAAGTGAACAGGCTGGCCCGGGCCGAGGCTCCCAGGCAGACACAAGAATATTTACAGCGAGGTGCTGGATAAAACTCCAGCTCCTCCAGGGGTTCCCCCGGGGAGGGGAGGCAGACGGGTGGGGAGGGGAGGCAGACGGGTGGGGATGGTCCCTCACTTGGGCAGCCCGTTCTTCATGCCTAGCTGTTCCTTGAGGGCCTGCAGCTGGCCCAGACTGATGTTGCTGCCGCCACAGACAATGACCACGACGGAGGACAGCGGGGCCCGGAGCTTGCCTTCTCCTTGCAGCTTCTGAATCACGCGGCTGTACACGGCAGCCAGGGCTGCCCCACAGGCGGGCTCCACCAGGATCTTCTCATCATCTGTGGAGGAGGGAGTGATGAGGGTGGGACCTGGGAGCAGGGTGCAGGGGTGCTATTGGGCCATAGGGAAAGCCTGAGGGTGTGAGCCGCTGGGCTCTCAGACCTGGCCACAGACTCCGGTCCCAGGCCAAACCTCCCCTCACTGCCCCAGCTTGACCTTCCAAGTCCCGATCACAACTAGGTTTCATTATGAGTACAGGCACTGATAAGATGATTGTAACTGCCTGAGCTCTATGTTGAGAAGGCTTGAGTCATCATCTGAGCAAGACTGCCATGGTTGATGAGCACACTGAGTGCTAATACAGATTAAGTGGCAGTGTGAGTGCTTACTGTGTGTGTGTGTGTGTGTGTGTGCTTGCACACATATACATGTGTCATCCCTGACCTAGACTGAACCCAGAAGGAAACCAGTCTACTTACAGACCCATTTCTGAAGCCGGGCCTGAGGTCCATTCTTTCCCTTTTCACCTGGGCTACCAGGAAGCTCAAAGTTCGCATTTTTAAATATTTAATTGCTATTCCCTGCTGTCATGGTTATCAAACTTACTTCTTCACTTGTGGCTTTGGCCTTTCCACTTCTACAACTGCACTGTATTACCTTTCACGAGTGGGAAGTTCTAGGGAGGGGTGGGAGATTGGGGTGGGAGGTAGGACTGTCAGGAAAATTTGCAGGGAATGGGATCTTCTAGGATGCCACGTGGAGAGCCAGTTAGTTCCTGAGCTAGCAGATCAGGTCTTGAAAGGATGCAGCACATACCCACGAACTTCTCAATGGCGGCCACAGCCTCCTGGTCCGAGATGACTTCAGAGAAGATGGGGTGTTCCTGAAATAGCTTCAGGGCCTGAGCCCCCACGGTCTTCACGCACAGGGCCTTGGCCACACTGGGAGAGGTGGGGATGGAGAAAAGGAGGGGAATGGGGGAAACAGGAGGGAGGAGGGAGGCAGAGATTGGGATGAGGAGGGATGGAAAGAGAAAGATGGATTTGAGAGGGAGGAGGGAAGCGGGATCTGTGGGCAGGCTCCCTGACAGTGAAGTCTTTTCTAATAAGGCACAGAGGCTTGACTGGGGGTAAATAGCATATTGTGCTCAACACCCACTGAGGAACAAACGCCAGAGAGACCGCCTTGTGGTTCCTTGAAAGGGCTCTGCCCGCCCAGGTCTGGCCCTGTCCTTCAGGGCTCAGGATTAAGGCCACCTCCTCAAAGGGTCCTCCCCATGACGCAGGCATAGTGACAATTTCTTGCACAAGTATTAAGTGCCAAGGATTTTGCAGGCATTATTTAATTCTCACAACCATTTTTGCTATTCATTGGTTCGATTTTAATGGGAGAGGAAATCAAGGCAGAGAGTGTGCAGGTCACTTGCCCGAAGTTATGTGCCTAGGCAGTGGTGGTGTGAGCACTTCAAGCAGGATCCTTTTAACTCCAGGACCTGCACTCATCCTCAGCACATTCACTTTCTCCCTGCTCCCTGGAGTTATCACTTTCTATTCCCATCTTTCCCAGAGCACCTGGGGCCTGAACCACCTTAGTCCTAAGCCTGGCATAGCTCACAGTAGGCACTCAACAATCATTTCCTCAATCCCAACAGTGCAGGATCAGAGCCCAACATGGTAGCTCCTGGGTGCCAGGCTCAGGAATCCAGAATTTTGGGCACAGTCTTCCCTCTCTGTGGTAAGGACTTATCTACCCAATCTATTCTAGCTGCATACGTGGAGACCTGGTAAGATATTTCCCAGCCTCCCTTGCAGTAGCTGTGGCCATGTGACTAAGTTCTGGCCAATGAGAGGTAACTGGGAGCACTGTGTCTGTCTTTAAAGGGAAGGGGCATCACTTCTGCCCTCCCTTTCTCCTGCCAGATGGAGCGTGGGTGTGATAGTCAGCACTTAAGCAGCTATTTTGGGCCATAGGGCTATATGATAAGGATGATGGAGAACAAACTCAAGGGACCTGTGCCCTGGCTTCTTGGAGCCCTTGGACTGCCTACCTGTAGACACTTTTTTTTCATTTTATGTAAGAGATGAAGTAAAGTTCAATCTGGTTTAAGACACTGTTATTTGGGGCTCCTATATAATGCGACAAACCTAATCCTAATTAAATACCATCTGTCAAAGGTTGGGGGCTGGGATATGAACTTGGGAGCAGGGGCTGTGTTTATTCACCACTCTGGCCCAGGATCAGCAGTGCTTGCATATAGGAGGGGCCCAGTAAATGATTAGCAAATGAATGAGGTGTGCAAAACCCTGCCACAGGGCAGTCAATACATGCTTAATATTGGACTCTTCGTGTGAGAAAGCATGACGTTCACAGTAGTGAGTCACGCAGACTCGGGTCCAGTCCCAGCAGTACCACTCGTGGCTGTGTGACTTTGGGCAAGTGACCAGAGCCTCGGTTTCTTCATCTGTAAAATGGGACTGACATGGGGGGGTCTACCTCGCAGGCAGCCCCGAGGTGGGCTCCCCAAGGCTCATGAACAGCCAACGGGGGCAGCCCTGCTGCTCACCTGGTAACCTGGGGCAGGGAGACGAGCTTGCCGGCAGTGGTGGCAGCGTGGAAGCTGTGGGCTCCGACGGTCTCCATGGCGATGATAGGCACGTCCCCCCAGCCCACCTCCTGCAGCCCCTGGACCACTCCGCACAGCAGGCCCCCGCCACCCACCGACAGCGCGATGGCCCCTGGCTTGGCGCTCAGTGTCTCCTTCAGCTCCCTCACGATGGAAGTGTGGCCTTCCCTGGAGGGTGGGGGGTAGTTAAGGCTGGGCTCCCTGGAGACCCCACACAGGGGCCCTAGAGATGCCCCTTGTCCTCATCCCAGGCAGCCGAGGGGCTTTGGGCTAGTCACCCCCTCCCCAGCTCCTCCCCGATTTCCAGCTGCCAGCATCCCATGTCCACGCAAAGCCTTCCTCTGGCTACTGGAGCTGCCTGCAAATGTAGGAGGAGACGACAGCCCTGGAGAGCGGCCCTCAGCCAATGCCTGTGGCCACCCGGAATGGTGGCAGTGGTGTATAAGCTCCCAGCACCCTCTCCCACAGCTGGATCACTCTGGTTTGGTTCCACGCTGGCTCCCAGGGGCCCCCCTGATGGAGTAAGCTCTGGCCGTCCACAGAGTGCCTGCCCCTGAGAGCCCTTTATCCGCTCTCTTCTGGCCTTGGCTCCCTCCCCCCTTCTCTGTTGTGTCATCCCCCAGGTAAACAGCTTTCCCTGAAATCTTTGTCTTGGGGTCAGCTTTCTGGGGACCTGGTTGCAGGTACGTGTGCATCTGAGCTCAAAATGCCCTCGTGGCCGCAGGAACGGGCACTGGCACCCGTGCATGTGCACCTGCTCTCGTGCCCATTGCCATGCCCAGCACATACAACTGCTGTGCCCGTGGGGCGATGACATGCATTGTGGCAGGTGCCCACCCAGTGGTAGGGGAGATGGACCCCACCTGCGCCAGGGGACTCTGGGCTCCACATACCAGATGAGGGGGTCATCAAAGGGAGGAATGTAGACCCAGCCTGGGTTGTTCTTTGCCAGGGCCTTGGCCAGCTCGAAGGCCTCGTCCAACATCTGCAAGACCATGGCAGAGGTTGGAGGGGATGAGGGTCTGGGGGACCCTGCCCTGCCACCAGACGCCCTCCGCGGCCCCTGCCCTGGGTTGGTACTCACCTCACCTACCACCTTGACTATGGCACCCTCATTCTTGAGCCGCTCGATGGTGAGGGCAGGTGTGGTGCTGGGCACCACGATGGTGGCGGGGATCCCCAGCTTCCTGGCAGCGTAGGCGGCTGCCATGCCCGCATTGCCCGCTGCCAGGGATGGGGGTGGAGAGTGGGTGTGTCAGGGCAGGAGGGCCTGGGAGCCCGACTGGGACTGCTCATCTCCATTCCAGCCTTGGGACTCTGAACACCACCCTGAGGGATTACTTGCCTCCCCCTGGAATTCCAAACTGGGGCTACTGCAGATGTTTGTCCTGGCTCGTTGCTCGGGTAACCAGGGCCCAGAGAGGTAGAGCGCCTGGCCCGGGGACACATAAGCAGGGCGCAGGAGGAGGCAGGCAGACCACTTACCCGAGGAGCAGACGAAATGTTCACAGCCTTGCTCAGCCCACTGTAGAGACAAGGTGGGGAGGGTGAGGCCCTCCTCCCAGTCTTCCCCTGGGCTCTCCCCGCCACACCTGGAGTGCTTCCCAGTGATTCCAGTATACACTGGCCTCTCCTTCCTTCACACAGATTTTGCGCTGCCCTAGCCTCTCAGATGACATCGTTTCTCCCAAAGAGACTGGCTCAGGGAAGTGTTGCGGGGGGTGGACAGTGGGGGAAGCAGGCAAATGACAGCTCTGGGATCAGTCCACGAGGAGACCCTCTGGGGTGGGCACTCCTTCTCTAAAGGGAGTGCTACTAGCAGATACTGGAGCATTGTGGGAGTCAGCACATCATGCTGGCCTGGCCCCACTGAGGAAAAAGGACCAGCCACCCCCGCTCCAAAGATGCAGAGCCCCGCCCGTACATTCTTGCACAGGTGTCCAATGCCGCGGATCTTGAAGGAGCCCGAAGGTTGGGCACTGTCCATCTTGAGGTAGACACTGGTGCCTGCCACTTTGGACAGGGACATGCTGTCACGGATGGGGGTCTTGACGTGCAGGGGCTCTCCAGACGTCATTGCTGGGAGGAAGGAAGGACACCCAGATGGTCAGGAGAGCTGGCCATGGTGCTGGCCGCTGCCATGTAGCCCTCAGCATGCCGGCGAGTGACCCCTCCCCTCGCTTCCCATGAGGCCGAGGGAAGAGCCCAGATGAGGAGCATCCTGGAGACCTGAATTCAAATCCCAGCTGAGCTGCCTACTCACCAGGTGACATCGTGCAAGCAATCCCGCCTCAGCCTCAGCTGCCTCATCTGTAAAATGGGGACAAGGACCCCCCCCACACACACACAACATGCTGGGAAGCTGTAAAATTCAGAAATAACACTCAGACCTTGCACATTTCAAGGGACATGAGATGAGGATGGATTTGTAGGTGCTGAGTCAGAGTGAGTTTCAAAGATGGTTCAGTGCTAAAAAGGGGCAGGACAGCAGGTGTAGTCTATTTGTGCAAAAACATGGGGACAGACACACACACACATAATCCATAAGCTTTTGTGTGCATAGAACATCTTGGGAAATATGCAAGAAACTCATGAGGGTGAGGGGCTTCTGGGGAGAGGGCTGGCACTCAGCATCCCTTTTGTGCTTTTTGAATGTTTTATTGTGCATAGGAAATACCTATTTAAATGCATGTATTTTTTTCATACTGACCTTCTGAAAGCCCCATCCCCAGTTAGAGTAGACTTTTTATAATAATTATTTTATTATGTAATAATCATTTCTAAAGTGATTACCATGTGCCACACACTGTTTTAAGCTTTATAGATATTAATGCATTTAATCCTTTTAATAATCCCAGGAGATGCGTTATTAGTCCATTCTGATAAGGACAAGGCTCAGATTGTGTTTTCCAGAATGACCACTGCAAAGCTCTTCCCATCCAACACACATCTCTTATGATGTGACACAGATGCTTTTCCCAGTGAGAAGTGGGGTCTGTGCTTCCTGCTTAGGGGCCCTGGAGGAGCGGGTGGCCTGTGGCTGTAGGTGGAAGGGACACTCTGTGGCCTCCAAGCATCGCAGTGTGGGTGAATATTTAACAACAGACTCCTCAAAGAAAAATCAAGCCCTGATTTGCTGTGTGCGCACTTCTGTGCTGTACATGACCTTCCCCAAGGCCACTTTCAAGCTACCAACATGACATCACTGAGTGTGGAGCTGGGAAGAGATGGCACGGTCTGCTCTCTGGAGCCCAAGTGAGCCGGCTCCACTCCAGCCCCCCTCCCAAGGCGAGGTCATGGAAGGGGACACAGCCTCCGCCTGGCTGTCTCTCTCCGGCAGCTCCGTCTCCAACCCCGGCTGCCATGATGGGAGTAAGACCAGGCCTCACGTAGAGGGCACATGTAGATGGTCTACCTGACAGCGGATGGCCAGTGTCTCCTGCCAGACATGGGAGGTGACCTTGAGACATCAGCTACCATCACACATCACACGGCAGATGTCTGAGAGACCCCAGTGAGAACTGCCTGCTGAGCCCAGTTAAGCCCCAGAGCCATGACAGACAGCAGCAATACAATGATTGCTATTGTTTTAGGTCCCTACACCTTGGGGCGGTTTGTCACTCTGGCCATAGGGACTAGAATATTAATGTGACTTGCCCAAGGCCACACAGCTTGGGGGATGGGGGAGGCAGGATTTGAATTCAGATAGCCTAGTGCCGAAGCTAGGTTCTCTACAGGACCATGGGCGTGGCTCAGACCTCCTGGTCTGACCAACTCCGGGTGATCGAGAATCTGATGTAGCCCAGAGTCTGGCCAAAGACGTGCAGCCCTTTTTCCTCCTCTTCTCCTGGATTCTCCCCAACTTGGGCTGAGCCAGAATTTGATCAGCAGGTGGTTGGGTGAGTAGCCTATCTGGCCCCACCCCCCAATGTCCTTGGCTAGAAGGCCAAGCAAGAATGGCTGTCTCCCTCCACGTGCCCCCCCATTTCCAATGACACCACCTGGGACAGCCCTAGGCTTGGCCACCAGCCCTTGAGGACAGCTAGATACACCTGGGTAGAAGACAAGTGAGGGATGGGGTTCCTGACCACCCCACTAGCCTTAGCACCCCCAAACAGGGATAGCTCATGTCTGTCTGAATTAACTAACATTCAGGGTCTGGGAGGGGTGCTCTCCCCTAGATCTCTTGAACCAAAGCCAGGAACTAGAGGCACTCCTTTACAGGAACATCCCATATCTTTTTGAATTAACTTTAATTAGCCTCCTGGAGGTTCTCCCCGAAACAATGGCACCCCCGTTCTGGCTTAGTCGAACCTTGTGCACCTTGCCAAGCCCTGGCCTCAGGGAGCTCTCCTGGTTGGGAGTGGGAAGCATCCCCCACAAGACCCCTTTCAGGTAGATTTGGGAAGTCTTCTCCCCCACCTGTGTCTGGCTGCCTTCAGGTGAGGGGCAGAGACCCCCTATGGGCATTACTCCTTCTAGTACAACATCTTGAAGTTGTGCCGAACGTGGAGGAGGGCGGGCACTGGAAGATGTAGTCTGCCTTTGTGTCCCCTCTAGGTCAGAACTCACTCCCCTCTCACTCGGCTCAAAGCAAGAGTTCAATAAAAACAAACTATCATTATTTCTGACTGGACATTTTAAGTGCATGCTCATTTCGAGGAAGGGTCTGTTATTATTCCCATTTTAGAGATGAGAACACTGAGGCCCAGAGCTAGATGCCGACCCAGCCAGTCTGGCTTCAGAGCATGGGTTTTTATGCTCAAATGACTCTATCTCCTCTTTCCCAGGAACCTCTTCCCCCTGCCCCTGGCCGCAGGCACTCCAGATTGCAAGTGGGGGAGGAGCGGGTACTTACCTGCCCAAGGTGGTGGAGCTGGGCGGCCGGGACGGAGGGAGCAGACCGGGAAGGGATGGCCTGGAGACGGTCTAGATGGAAAGGCTGGGTAGAGAGTCCTCAGAGAGATGGAGGGTAGACGGACAGGTAGAATGTCTCCAGAATTGTCCCAGGGGCTACGGATCTGGGGCTTTGGTCCGGGGCTTTATTCCCGGGGCGCCTCCGGGCAGCCAATTGGGGTCCAGGGATGGCCACGCCCCCCGCCAAGCCCCGCCCCTGGCCCGCTGCCCTGGGGCTTCCAGGAGGCGAGGGGGAAGCTGGCTGAGCTTCTGCTGGCAGCTTCCTCCTGGCTCTCCCCCATTCGCCCCTCCCCTTCCCATTCTCAGCTTCTTCACTTGCTGGTGGGAACAACACCTGCTTCCCAAGACTGTTCCCAAGGGCTTGCAGGAGGATAGCCTGAGATCGTGCACTTCCCAGCCCTAGCATGTGCTTGGCACATAGTAGGCACCCAGGAAACACACCACGGGAGGAAGGGGGTACTCTTATCCTCATTTTCAAGAAAGAGAGGCTGAGACCCAGAGAGTAAGAGATGAGCTGGCATTTGAACCCAGTCTGCCTGCTATAATGTAAATGGCCTTTCCCTGTCATCCTTTATAACTCTTGTCTTGAAGGAGCAGATGGCTTTACAGGTAGGACCCAGGCGGCTCAGGGTTCAAATCCTGGCTCTGCCATTTACCAGCCATGTGGCCCGGGGCAGGTCAGTTTGCTTCCCTGAGCCTCCCTTTGCCCATCTGTAAAATGGGGATGAAAATGGCGCGTCCCTCCTCAGATGAGATGACATAACAATGTTATGTGTAGGTATGGGGCCTGGACCTGAGTGTTGAGTGTTAGCAGCCGTCATCTTCATCATCATCATCATCATCATCACATGCACCTGAACTCACTCCCCGCCCCATGCCAAGCCTCCTGCCTGTCCCTGGCTGTGTGCAGGGGTCTGTGTGGATGTCCACAGGGGTGGTGTGCCCAAACACGTCCGGCCGGATCTTTTCCTGGTCCCCTCAACAAAGCTCTCTTGTCCCGCCGGCCAGGACGAGAATAGCAATGAGACAGAGGGCAGTGAGGGCACCAGCAGCCCGCACAACGGTTCCTCTCTGTGGGACATGCTGACCTTCCTCAGGGACTCCCAAGCCCTCGTCTCAGCAGGATGTCCACGCTCATGCGCAGGAGATACAGGGCGGCCGAACTGATGCCACGTGGGCGTCGTGGAGGTGCCGTGCAGACACAGCGTCCCTGGGTGCCTCTGAATGTATACAGTCGGCCCTCAAGTTGCCGGAGCTTCTGCTTGTGCCTGATCCCCAGCCAAGTGTTGCTATGTGGGGTTTCACTGAACCCTCGAAGCACCGGGTGAGTGGGCATTTTGAGTCCCGTGTCCCAGGTGAGGGGACAGGTTCAGGAATTCTGAGCCCTTTGCAGACATGAGGCTGATGAGATGGGGCAGGTGGAGGCCAGTGGGGGCATCTGGCCCAGCGGTGTCGCATTCACAGGACCCGGATGTGGGCTTTGGGTGCTGTGTCCATGTGAGGTTATCCATGCGGCCAGGGGTGACAACTGTCTCATCATGTTGGATTCGTCTCCTCTCCCCCACGGCAGCATTGGGACTGGGGGACGGCAGGGAGCGGCAAGGGGTGGAAAGAGGCGATCTTGTCCTTCCTGGGTCCTCTGCATATTGCTCCATTGGTTTCAACAAGAATGCGCCATGTCCTGAGTGCATCCTTTCTTAAAAACAACAACTCTTTTGAGCTACAATTCACATACCATATACTTCACCCATTTCTGGAGCATCAGGCTTAGAACATTTTATCACCCCAAAGAAAAACCCCAAACCTGTTCCCAGTTGCTCCCCTTCTGCCTTCCTGCAGCCCCCAGCAATCACCGGTCTGCTTTCTGTCTCTGTGGATTCTCCCGTTCTGGACATTTCACATCAATGGAATCATAGGGCGTGTGGCCTTTTGTGTCTGGCTTCTTTCCCTCTGCACTGTGTTTTCTTTCTTTCTTTCTTTCTTTTTTTTTTTTTAAGATTTTTCATTTATTTATTTGACAGACAGAGATCACAAGTAGGCAGAGAGGCAGGCAGAGAGAGAGGGAGGAAGCAGGGTCCCTGCTGAGCAGAGAGCCCCACTCGGGGCTCGATCCCAGGACCCTGAGACCATGACCCGAGCTGAAAGCAGAGGCTTTAACCCACTGAGCCACCCAGGCGCCCCCGCACCATGTTTTCGAGATACAGGATGTGCTTTCGTTGCTTTTCATGGCTGAATAATATTCCATCATAGAGATGGGCTATGTGCTTATTATCCAGTCAGCAGCGGATACACATTTCCTGTCTGGGTATAGCTTCATTTTTAAATATATATGAAATATGTAGGGCGCCTGGCTGGCTCAGTTGGTTAAGCATCTGCCTTCAGCTCAGGTCATGGTCCCCGGGTCCTGGGTCGAGTCCCGCATTGGGCTCCTTGCTCAGCGGGAAGCCTGCTTCTCCATCCACTTGCCTCTCCCTCTGCCTGCTGCTCCCCCCTGCTTGTGCTCTCTCTCTCTCTGACAAATAATTAAATAATTAAGAAAATAATTTAAAATAACTTAAAATTTAAAAAAAAAGAAGAAATATGTAGGGATGACTTTAGCTCAGGTCATGATCCTGGGGTTCTGGGATCTAGCCCGCCATTGGGCTCTCTGTTCAGCTGGGAATCTGCTTCTCTCTCTCCCTCTGCCTCTGCCCCCAACTTGTGCATGTGCACTCTCTCTCTCTCAACTAAATAAACAAAATCTTAAAATATATATATATATATGTATATATATGTATATATATATATATATATATATACATATATATACATGTGTGGATGTGTGTGTGCCTCTGTATCCTATCATGTGGGTGGAACCCAAGAACCTAGGAGGGCAGGGGATTCACCCAAGAGAAGAGAATGGAGCAGATGCAGGAAGAGTGGCCGTGTGATGGGGACATTCTGACCAGGCAGCTGCTGGAGGGTCCTGGGGGAAGGCTCCAGCTGTCACTATGCAGCCATCAGGGGTATCTGTTTGGGTCGGTGACTACACAACCCAGTGTGTGTCAATTTTCATATAGCAAGTGAGTGACTTTTCTGACAGGCCCAAGTTTTAATCCAAATTCATCGATTTGCTGTGTGACCTTGGATGAGTTACTTAACCTCTCTGTGCCTCAGTTTCTTTAACTGATAGTAGTGTCCAACTCTTAGATTTGTTATGAGGATTTAAACCTAATTGGTGTGAAGTTATAAGGATAGTGCGCAGTGACTTGTGGGCACTTACTAGGTGATGGTCATCTTTATTTTCTGGTGCTCAAGAGGGCATTTGAGTCTAGCTCTGGGTGATGGGACACGAGGAACTTCCTCTCCCATCTAGTCCTCCTTTAAAATATCTTCAGAAGTAGGGGAGGAAAGTGAAAGTCACCTTGTCCCATTTAGCAGATGGGCAAACTGAGGTTTGGATTTATCCAATGCAGAAAGGTGAGGGCAGAGCCCATAGTCCCAGGAGGAGGGGTGGGAGTCTGGCTGGGGGACCTTGGGCAAGTTTCCACCCTTGCATCTGCCTGCTGGCTCTATTACATCACACCTTCCCCAGTAGTGTCCCCGAGGATGGCCAGATCGGTATGTCCTTGACTGTGGGAAGTGGGGATACTGATTGTTTTCACAGCTTCGAGAGGAATGGGCAGCTCTCATCTGTTTGTCCACTGTGGCTGGAACAGCCAGCCCTGGAGTCTGCTGATTGGTTAAGTTCTTAGGCTCCTGAGTCCATCACACCTGGGTTGAAACTGACACCCAGCTGTGACCTCAGAGAACTCACTTAACTTCCCTTAACCTTGGTTTCTGGCCGCCAGAAATGAGGACGAATCAGCCCGGTGCCAGGTGTGGAATAAGGGCTCAAAGAATATAGCTGCTATTATGATTATCTTTGGTTTTGTTATTATAATCCAGGACCTTCCCAAACCGTCTGGTCTCTTTTCCCTGAGTCTTCCCTCCTCACTCATGTTTCCTCCCTGTCAAGTCTCGCTTGGTACCTCTTTGGGATTTTGCAGCCTGGCAGCCCTGGAGTCTCTTCCCAGGGGCTCATGAGCAGACTTAGGACAGGTCTGCACTGACCCCTTCCCTGCTGGACTCCCCACTCTTGCCTCCATCCACTCAACATCCTATGGGGCACAGGACAGCTCCCTCTACCCTCCACCAAAGGATTATCTGGCCCCAAATGTCAGTAGTGTCAAGGTTGAGAGACTCTGCCTAAGAGTAATATGGAATGAGACTAATATCTCCCTCATTCTATCTTCCATACTTCTATTAATATGGCCAGGAGAAATTAACTAATCCTACGTGGGTGAAATGCACTTAATCTTAAAAGCCTGTTGTTCTATATCCAACTGCTACTCAATTGACCTCCAGAGAAGTTAAAAGATTTATTTTCTTGGTGAAATTAACCCAATCAGATCAGGTCTATCTTGTTTGGATGTACTTAATCTCTGTGGCTTCCACCGTAGAACTTGGCATCCAGCCCTCTTCGTGCTCATTCACCTGGCTTCAGTCCATCATTTGATTTGATTGAGACTTTGTGACCCTTTCTTGGGTCAATCGACAATGCCATCTGTAGTGATGCTTCCCCGCTTTGCGTCATCCAAAAATGTGGCAAACAGTCTCTTGGTGGACACTTACGGCTAAAACTGACCACGGCCAAGGTCCAAACCCCATGGCCACGCTGGGCCTCCCCCATGGGTTTATCATCACCCATCCATCAACATGTGATGGGTGGAGTTGGCCAGGTCCAGAGGGCCCGTGAGGGATTTTTGTCCAAAGTTCGTAGAAAAATCAAGATATTTGCAGTAGGATTAACTCTCAGGCCACAAACTCCACGTGCAACGCATGGAGACTTCTTTATTTTCCCTTAACTTGGCTTAATTTTTATTTCAAGAAGATAATTCATTGGAGGCAATGAGGGGTTTCCCCTTCACATTAGAGATGGCAGGAACATTCAGGGGTGCTGGATGGTTCCATTATCTGCCCCCTGCCCCAGCTTGCCTGAGAGCCCCTTACTCAGCCCAGCCACGTGGGTCCTTGTCCTATAGTCTGGGGCCCATGGCAACCATTCCAGAGAATGGCTGGCAGCTCAAGGTGGCTTCCCCCTGAGTTGTGGCCATTGTCATAAAGTCTTTCTCTT